ATAGTGATACCCTGACCAAACTCTTCCCAGTCTGCTATCTAACAAGCTTCGTTTCAGGGCAGCGAGCCACTAGGGGGCATCATGCAAATGTGTTACATGCTGATGTAAACATGTCACGGAAGAAAAGGCTGGACTGGCAGTTCAGGAGTCAGTGCTTTCTGTGGAAGTGTGTAACTCTCGTTGACATGGCCTTTAGGCTCTGTAACTCTGCCGTCTTTTTACATGCCACACATGCAGAAAAGCAGCGATGTAACACAATAAAGGAAAGGGAGAAACCCAAAAAGCACACGAGGGGCTCTTTAGTTTGTCACCTGTCACTTATGTGCACCTGCTCCCTATAATGGCACCTTCATTCCCACTTGGAATTTTATTTTGTTGCAGTTTCCCCAAATACACAAGTACCTCTTTTGTTAAATTACACTGCTTATTTATACTGTAATATATTGATATTTGTGAGAAGCTGACCACTAAGTCTGTTTTTATGTCTTTCAGGTCTGGCTGGATTTGCTAGATTGTGTGCTGGTGACCAGTATGAGGTTTGTTTGTCAGTCTTTCTCAGTTCAAATCAATTTAATTTAATTTAATTTAGTTCAGTTGATGGTGATTTTGTTTTTTGCTATGTTGAGGTTTCTCTTGTGCCTTTGTTTTTACAGATGTTTAGGCAGAACAGTGTTTAAAGTGAAGTTTAAACAAGTCATTAGGACCAGACAAGCCAGGCTAAGACTGTTTCTCACTTGGCACTGCTGTTTGCTTGTTTACAACACTGATGCTGCACGTGTTGTTTGTTTTTATTTAATATAACTGCCCTATGAACACTGACTGCTTTGTCATGTAGGCAAGTGATACTTCACTGAAATAGATAAGGCTACATGGAATCATTTACAAGGGTGTGTCAAAAAGTTCTCTGCCTCTCCTGGAAACAATGGGCGTAGCTCCTACTTTCGGTTTTGTAATGAAGTGTCTGAGCTGAGAATTCATAATGCAGATTTAAAGCCTTTCACATTTTACTATTCACACAAATGCTTGCGTGCTTATCAGGGTCTGGTTTATCTTTGTTGCTGAAAGTTAGTGTAATGACATAGCAAATCTAGATATCTGTGAAGTACCCTACACCCAATATCCAAATCAAAATAAATAATGCCTTCTTATTTGTGAGTGGAAGCATCTCATCTAGGACGCCATCACACCCTCTGGCTGTGTGAATCTTTGACGGCCCGTTCAAATGTATTTAAATTAGGAGTTTTTGTTAGTGTTTGTTCAGGTTCTGAATTGATGGGGATGTTTTCATGCGTTTCATACATACCTTTTTTTGAAGTGATTGATCCAGATGTTGGATCACTAGCATTGTTTTGTTTAGATTCTGTGAGTTTCCCAGAACCAGAATCTTTTACTTGAGCTCTGTATACATGTAAATATGATCCTTAGTGTATCTCAAGGTATAAACATACAGTGTGTGTGTGTGTGTGTGTGTGTGTGTGTGTGTGTTTGTTCAGATCTTTATGAAGTATGGTCGGCAGCGGTGGAAGCTGCGGGGAAGAATGGAGCTTAATGCCAAACAAGTGTGGGACAGTGAAGATATGGTGTTTTTGCCACTCATTAATGACTTCCTGTCTGTGAAGGTTAGTCCCCCCCCCCCAATCTATCATGGTAATTGTTTTTTATTATGTTGGATTATGTCCAGGTTTCAGCATTCTAGACAGTCCAACCTATCTTTTAGTTTTTGTGCACCATGAATTTAGTACCCTGACAATTCTGTTATTACTTCTACAGAACACGACAGTAATTTGACAGTGCATGGTTCCTAACCTAAATTATTGACAGTGATTGACCTATTGACAGCCGCAAAACAATGGTTACATGATCTGATAACATTTCTCTGGTTTCCCAGGTGACAGAAGTGAAGAGCTTAGCCAATCACGTGGTTGTAGGAAGTGTTTCCTGTGAAACTAAGGACCTGTTTGCTGCACTGCCCCAGACGGTTGCTGTGGATATTAATGACCTTGGGACTCTTAAGCTAAGCCTCGAGGTCACCTGGAAGTAAGCTTTGTCAGCCATCCTGGTAGTGTACTGAAAATTGTGCTGAGCTTTGGAGTTTGCGTTAACTGAGTCAGTCAAACGTTATCCAGAACATGACTTAAATATTATACTTAATCTTCATTTATTTTATCTCGTGTCTCTGTCTTTCCTATTCTCTCTTTCTTTTTCCCTTTAACAGTCCATTTGACAAAGATGACCAAGGGTCTGTTTCAAGCACTGTCAACAAAGCACCATCCGTCAGTAAGAGGTTCTCAACAATCTTCAACCAGAGTCCACCAGACACGCCGTCTTTACGGGAACAAGCCTTCTATGTGAGTTCTTCTGTATTCTTGTGTTCTGTTCAGAATAATGTTTGCCTGAAGCTTTCCAAGACAGCGATACTGGAATACTGTATATAATATCCAGATATGTGGGCAGCAGACATCTGAGGAGGAAGCAGACCTTTTTTTGACCTACACACTAATGCATTTAGTGTCTGGCCGTTTCTAATCTGGAAGAGTTTGTGTAGATTTCTGATAGAGAGTAACTGATCTAATACAACTGGGAGAAGCAAAAACACATGCTGTTTGTCATTAAAGAGTTTGTTGTCTTCAACACATTTCTGGTCTGAGTTCAGATCTAGTGGTTTAGAACTGCTGCAGAGGGAGAGCATTTTAATTTAGCCCACAACCATGAGTTCCTAACATTTCTGATGCCCTTTGTTCCACCTGTTGCCTTTTTGCTGTAAAGTCTCTGCCTCGGAGTCTGGCCAGGCGGCAGCACTGGCCGCTGCTGGACATTTTTAGAGGCACACTTAGCCAGAGCTGCTCCTGTAGTGACAACTCGCCAGCAAGACAGTCGACTGCAGTAAGTCACGATGAAATAGAACCCCCCAGACTAGAAACATAGAGCCCACTGGTGTATTAATAATGTTAGCGTAGAACAAGCCCTTATTCCAATCAGATGGCAACTGAGTATGTCGGCTTCGTGTCTGAATGAGTACCCTGGTCATTTTTCCATTGTTGTTACAGACCTAATGGCATTCCTGTATCACTTTTAATACACGTTTGAACTGCATGAATCACATAGCGGATAGATGTGACAGTACTTTGAGTTGTGTGAAGCAATTCAGGGAAAAATTATTCCATATTTCAGCATCAATATTGGTCCAAAAATATAGTGCAAAAGTCAGATTTTGTGCACTAAAATCATAAAACAACTTTGTTATTCACTATGCCTGAGAATTTTAAATCTATTATAAACTGAATTGTCTTTTAAGTTAAAACTTTATTAGGATGTAGACAGTCTCCAACAATGAATGTAATCCAGGTAATCCAAGTCTATATTTGATAAGAGCTATGTGAGCATTTCCAAATTGAGAGAATTGCAACGTATGTGGAACAACAGCAATAACTTCATTAATTATTTATAATCTTAAATGATCCCTGACATGGAGACAGGATCAATCAGGATCTAATAACAAGTCACACCGTGTACTTCTCTTCAGCCTACATGGGTGAGCTGTCACACAGAGTTACAGTTGTTCAGCTACAGGTAAATCATTTGTTGGCTCCCAGTCAAGGGCAGGAACAAGAAATCTGCTGCTATCATGTTGGTCAAACTGCAGCTCTGCACTCATGTGACCCTCCACTAGCCTTCAGGGCATTTGGAACCTCCTAACAGAACCTAGTGTGGTGGCAAATCACAATTAGATCAAAATGAATGAGAAGTCCCAAGTTGTCTTTGTGTCACATTAGCATTAGCATGCAAATGTCAAAATGGCTCTGCATATAGTCGTATATTTACTCTCAGCCCTGGTTCTGTCCAAACTGGTTTCAGTGGGACTCCGTGGTTTAGTGTAGACTTGCCTCTAGTAAACTCTAATACAGGGATCTCCAACTCCGGTCCTCGTGAGCTACTGTCCTGCAGGGACTGACTCAAATGAATGGATCTCCAACAGCTTGTTGTGAAGTTCTACACAAGTCTGTTAATGATCCATTCATTTGAGTCAGGTGTGTTGCAGTACGGAATCGTCTAAAACCTGCAGGACAGTAGCTCCCGAGGACTGGAGTTGGAGATCCCTGCTCTAACACCTTTGACGTACTTGAAGCTGTAGGTAAAGTTACAAATTATCAAGTAAGCACAAGCAATACTTTGTCATTCTGCTTCTGATAATCACAAGATCATACAAGTGATTATTCACACAAGCATATCACTAAACTGACCACTCAAACAAAGGTGAGGTAAAACATTTACTGAAAATGATTCATTGTAAACATCAATTAGAGTTTAATTATAGAACCACCTCCTGGTTCAACTTACACTTACAGTAGAGCCAGTTACCAACTGCAGTTGTGTGAGTACAGTTTTCCTTACAAGAGGTTACCGTACAAGAGGTTATTACTGAGATGTAATAAACAGGAATTATCCTTCGGTCCTGAATTCCCGCTATGGCCTACAGCATGCAAGACTCAGCCTTGATTTTGAAAACAGTAGTGTGAAAAATAAGAAAAAATAATTATGAAAAATTCCCTTACTAGCTTTTCCCAGACCTCCCTGTGGACCTTGAGTCAAGATTATTTTGTAAAATTATATTTTGCTGTACTAAATTGCACTAGTACACTCTGAAGTGCATAACCCCTGAAAATTAAAAATGAGCTCTGAGTAAGCAAAGCAAGTTTTTTGAAATGAATTGAATCCTTCTCCCTCCTCAATGGAATGCTGTGTCTTTTGCATGTCCACCCATAATAGCATTGTGCCATGTACATGCTAAAATTGATGGATGTAGTTATATAAACAATGAAGGAGAAGCAACCTCTTGTAAGTCGCTTCCTTTAAAGCATGCTGAGGCCTTGTGTAATAATCCTGTAAGTATGATGACTTGTAATGAGTATCATGTAAAGATAAATGTTTCAGTTACTGTTCCAGCATTTCACTGTAGCATTTTAATGCTACTTTGCCGTTCATTAAAACAAAGTGGTCTGGTAAATGTTTCTTATAGTAAATATTTAAATCTGATGACTAAATGAGATTTATGTTGCCTAACCTGCTATCTGTTACAACGATAAAAAACAGTAAATGGGGAAGATTTTCTATATAACCTCACCTTGCTGTACGTCACAGTTCGTCTGTGAAGCCTTTTTTGTCTTAGTGATCCACACTGCTGACATATCAGTTATCTGTCACTTGTTCTTGCACAATGTGTCCAGTATTCTGCAAATGTGGCCACTGAAGCATAACAGAGAGGAAGGAAGCATGGTCATGCACACTGAAAATAATCACGAGGGACAGATTGTGTGAGCTGTGTTAAGCCCTTTTTTTTTTAGACATTCGATGAGCCTCATCCATCTACTGAAGTCATGGCATTCTGTCATTTAGACAGATTTCACTTGGACATTAAAGTTCCTCACAGCTTCACTCAGACAGACCCACCAAAGTGACAGAACAAATTAAAGACTATCAAACTATCTAAATAATGAATAGCATAGTTTATTTGTGATGTCCTAAACATAGAAATTTTTGCATGTGATGATAGTCTGACTACTGCTTTATGGACAGTAAAATAAAAATATCCCAAAAAGTGTGATGGAGACTGACGTCATGCAACAAATGTTTAAACTGCAGCTTGTAAACTCTGAATCACTTCACACGAGTCCAGGAGTAAGACTGCATGCAGTTCAGCTTCACGCTTTGTGCAGTCCTGTTGTGACAGACATAGCATCTCTGTCCATATCCAAGTCCCTTTGCATCATTCCAGCCTTTTAAAGTGCGTTGTTCTCTTTTAGAACATGCTCCGGCACCGTGAAGAGTTAGAGAATGGAACAGCATGGTCGAATTCATCTGAATCTTCTGATGACTCCTCCAGCCCCCAGCTATCTGTACAAGGGCTACGCAACTCTAAACAGCAAAAGGTAAACCCCAACACACATTTTACTGTTGTTTATGCCTTGCAGTTCTTGTTTGTACAGTTGTGATTGCAATAATTATTCTGTCTATTGCTCAGTATATATTTATATCTTACTATGTAAATTATCACCAGTCGTATCATAAGTTTGGACACATACAGTGGCACATGAAACTGTGTAAAAAAAAATGCTTCATAAGCCAAAATATGTGTCATGTTTTAGATTCCTCAGAGTAGCCACTGCTTTCCTTGATTACAGCTTTGCAATACTTTTGTATATTTAGGAATAATTTAAATGCTTAAAATTGCGATCTCAGAGGTTTAAGTCTTTGTTAAGTTCATGACACTGGTTGTTAATGTTAGTAACAGTTACTTCCGTGTCTTTATTTTGCAATGGAACAGAATCCATTTGCAGTCAAAAATCAATTCAAGACTATTGACATTGCACTTCAGAAATGTTTTATTGTCATTAAAATGCATTTGTGATTAATGTGAATCAAGAGATTTTGCTTGCTGTCGAGCTAAACCTTGTGCACTGACAGAGGAAACACTCTCTGTTGGCCAGTTTTGATTGCAATGACAGCTTGGCAACCTTTATCGTTAGTACGTGAGACAGGAAGTCCATTGAGAAGACAGAGTGGGAGCAAAGGAGACAAAAAATCTCNGTGCAGTCTCTCTCTCCTGTTGCTCTCAGATGAACTGAACCTGAACCTGAACCTGATTATATTTGTCCCCTCCTTATAGAATGATGACATCATAAAGACTTCAGAATGTGAACATTCCGCATGTGGAATGTTTCAGAAGTCCTCATTTTATTTAACTATCTGCTTTGAAAAGTGCCAGGTTTGCTGCTTTTCAGATGTTACAATGAGATAAATAAATATAAAATACTGTACACCAGCAGTGAAGAACTCAGATCTTATTGTTTCTGTTCAAACTATCAGCACAACCATCAAAAAACACAGTGAAAGAGTCCCGTGTTCAAATCCTTTCTTAACAAGTTAACCACTGTATACAGCTTAGTGGTCCAGAGGTTCCCAACTCTGGGGTCTGTCCCCTCCTGAGGGTCACCAGATAAATCTGTGGGGTCATGAGAAGCCTGTAAATGGTTTCCAATACAAACAATGTGTCTGTCTTTCAAGTTACAGTGCAGTCAAAAGTTATGACCTTGAGTTTGACCTTAAAATTGTATCCAAGGTCAAATGTGACATCACCAACAGAAAGCCCCAACATGGCTGCTTATCTGCACCAAATACCATAAATCTACCTTCTACCCTTTTGAAGTTACACAGCATTTTTGAAAATGTGACCTTTGACCTCTAGTAGAGCTGTTTTTGCACTGATTGACCCTAAAATTTAATCAAAAATAAAATATAAGTAAGATATCTGTTTGTTAGACCTTAGGACTTGAGCTAGAGACCATTCACAGATGGGACCGATTCCTTGATAGTTACCTCAACGACGGGGCAACTACAATAAAAAAAATAAATAAATAAAAAAAAAAGTTAGCAAAAAGGAGAAATAATAATAACTAAAGCCGCAAGCGGCGATGGACGGGTCCTCGCCCTACGCTTGTCGGCCTTCGCGCACGGCGAGTTGTGGCGCAAACCTGCTCCGGGCGGGACTGTCATCCGGCATGTCGAGTTTGGGGCAGATCGGAGCAAGTGTGGCCTTGTTACGAGCCACTTCCTGTTTAGTGGCTGATGGTGGCCAGGTGGCGCTGTGGAGCCATTTTGGCAGTGACATGTCCAAGTCTCTTAAAATAACAAATTTTTCGCCAGTCCTGGTGTGCGTGGCGATTTTGGTGAGCTTTCGAGTATGTTTAGGGCCTCAAAAACGCGTGTCTTTGNTTGATTACAGCTTTGCAATACTTTTGTATATTTAGGAATAATTTAAATGCTTAAAATTGTGATCTCAGAGGTTTAAGTCCTTGTTGAGTTCATGACACTGGTTGTTAATGTTAGTAACAGTTACTTCCGTGTCTTTATTTTGCAATGGAACAGAATCCATTTGCAGTCAAAAATCAATTCAAGACTATTGACATTGCACTTCAGAAATGTTTTATTGTCATTAAAATGCATTTGTGATTAATGTGAATCAAGAGATTTTGCTTGCTGTCGAGCTAAACCTTGTGCACTGACAGAGGAAACACTCTCTGTTGGCCAGTTTTGATTGCAATGACAGCTTGGCAACCTTTATCGTTAGTACGTGAGACAGGAAGTCCATTGAGAAGACAGAGTGGGAGCAAAGGAGACAAAAAATCTCCACTAAACATATGCATGTCCTTCTTTATTACATTGTGACTCTGTGGACATTAAGGCAGCAGTCAGATCGTCCACGAGTTCCCACTGAAACTTCACTGTCGTAATCACTGTTAAATAAAACGAATCTGTAGGAAGTGTCAGACGCCGAAGACATGGATCAATAAATATGTAGCACGTTTAAAATAGCAGCCATTGAGCCAAAATGCTTTTTAAATATTGAGGTTGAGACCCTACAGCAGTGTTTATGAGGTGGATTTACCTGTATGATTGAAATGTTAAGGATTACAGCCCTCTGGAATGCTATAAAATACAACTTTATTGTTGTATTTTAGATATTGAGCCTGCAGCATTAAATAATTATGATTAGCCTGACTAATGAACTGAAGTTCTAACTGGAGTCAGGACCCTACAATAATAATCCAAAGATTCCCTGAACTCCCTGTGAACAAGCCTTTAGGTGACAGTGGAGAAGAATGACTCCCTTTAAACAGGAAGAGACCTCCAGAAGAGCCAGGCCCATAGAGAGCGCTCATCTGCCCTGGTGAGGGTAAAGAGGAGAGAGACCAGGACAGGAGAGACAAAGAGACACCAGACACCAGACAAGCAGATCAACCTGTGCTGCTCCAGAGCCAGAAGTACATGTAGATGGGTACAGAGGGCACCAAGCACAAACTCTGAGACTGATAACACACAAAGTTAGTCACAATATAAATTCTTAGGGCCAGTGACAAGGACAAGCACATTTGAAGATAGCCATATATATGTATATTTTTTAGAAAAGGTAGCTAAGGTAAATCATCTTGACCACATTTTAAAAAGATTCCGAACTACAGTAGCAAACAAATAAAAAAGAAAACTGAGCAAAATTAGACAACCAATCAATATACAACAGCAGGATGAAGAAAAATAAATTAAAAGTTGACACGACTAGAGCAGCGCTGGAACAAAAAGCAAGGAAAAACATGAGCCTTTAATTATGACTATAATTATTGAATTTCCCTTCTTATTGAATTTCCCTTCTGGGATGAATAAAGTATTTTTCATTTCATTTCATGACATCAGATTGCCAATAGTGGGACAAGATTCAATGTGAAACAGGAGACAGCGTTACAGCCTGGATGTAAGGTCTAAGTATCCCAGATCTACGTAGCCTAATGGCACAAAATGGAGTTAACATATCAGTAACATACTGTGCTGCTTAACCATCCTGAACACTTTATAATCAATTCTCTATTTCACCGAAAGCCATACAAATGTGCTATTTAAAAAAAAAATCTAAATCTTTTATTGTACCAGTTGGGAGTCTAGCAGTTGCTTTCTCAACTAAGTGTACTCTGGTAATGTCGGCCCACTTCATTCCCGTATACAGGGTGTTACAAGAGTCCAGCTGAAGCTACTGCATGTATGGATGACAGTTTGCACATCCTTGTGAGATCAAAGTTTGTGTGATAAAAATGTTTCTTAAATTCAAATAGGAGTCCAGGAACATTGTGCATTTTTTTTCACACAGAGGGCCAAGCACTTTGCAAAAGCTATTAACAGTCAGGTGGGCAAAACATGAACTTCATTTTGTTTTCATTCAGTTGAAACTTCTTGTCAGACGTTTGATATTGTGAAGAGACCTACAGAAGCTCATTGAAAAAGAGCAGTCAGGTGTATCTGGAGGTAACACGGTGCATCATCAGCATAACAATGATATGATGTATAATAAAAAAGTAAGCCATGGGCAGCAACAATAGTATAAAATAAAAATGGCCCTAAAGGAAGCCACATTTAAAGGGAGCAGAAGAATATGGGCAGTATCTCTCTCTGAGATGTTTCTGTCTCTCAGTGTGAGCCATTTTAACACCAGACCCTGGAGTCCAGCTTCACAGTAATGGCTACACAATTACCTTCTGAAGCCTTGGGGAACAACTTCATTTATTAGACAGCTATTAATAACAGCCAATGTCAAGGGGCAGATTAAGTGTCCTTAAAGAGGAGAGAAAGTATAATGTCGAACATGAGCGAGACAACTGATCTGCAACGACGACATCGTGTCTTTAAGTAGGTGTTGCCCATGTGATTCAGCTCAACAGCAAGCAAGCTTTTGGATTGGCAAGCAAAAATGTTCTATACATTTTAATCCCAAATTTATTATACCCACAATAACGCAGAGTCTGTGGTTTTGCTCTTGAATCTTTTTTTTTTTTATTGCAAAAATGTTCCATTTGTTGTGTAACAAAGAAGCAAAAACAACAGAATTCTGCGATCAGCAAAACTGTTGTTGCTTCAGTTAAAAGGTCAGGCGGTCTTACTGTGGGCAACCATAATTTGTTTTCATGCTGCAAAAGGTGCAAGGCCAGAGGTGTGCAAACAGCAAGGCACAGTGACAGGACTTTGTTTCCTCACTGAGAAGTGAAGCTCTCCGTCTAACAGCTCATTACTCCCTGCAATGTTTCAAACTGATCTGCTGCCCCCCAAAAATGCAGGAAGCCATTGTCTTGCTTTGAAGACATGTTTTTGGTGACTCGTACCGCTAGTAAGTGGTAAGTGTACTAACAAACACGTTGGAGTTTCCATAATTAAAGTCAGCTTTTGCTTCACCAGTCAAATGCTGCAACAGTAGGAAATATTCAGTTTGCAAAAGCAGTAGCTTAAGCCAGTAGTTTTTCTGGGAACGCACCTTAGAAAACCAATTTATAATACTGCAAATACATAAATATTGCATAACCAATAGTACTTTCAGTTTGCCGTAGGTTTAATCACCATTGCATTCATTGTTCACAGCCTCTTCCACTGTACAGCTAACCTGCAAAGCAACCACCAATAACTCCATGTCAAATCTATAGAGTCCATGTCCTCTCTCTCTCTGTCTCTCTCTCTGTCTAGGCAATGTTGGTGACACCTGAGATCCCTCCAGGTGTAACAAGAATTATCTCCCCGCAGCCTGACATTTCATGTTGCCCAAGATACTCCTCCTCATCGCCAAACTCTAATCACAAAGCCACCACTGCCACTGAAGTTCCCAGCACAACAAAACCCCAAGAAGAGAGCAACAGGTAGTGTTTGAGTTTGTGTTTTCCGTAGAATTTGTCTGAATTCTACTCTACATTGTCACAAGTTAACATTTTGTCCAAATCAAATGTTTAAACTGATTCAACTTTTGACACTTGCTCATTGGAACACAATTGAAATGAAGTGAGTGGATTGTGGCGTGCTGAATCATCAGTCAGATTACCTGATATATGATCTGGTTTACAGGGACCAAGAGAATGGGACGGTCACTGTGATATCAGAACCTGACAGCGAGAAAGAGGCTGCTAGGAAACAGTCTCCCATAGCAACAGCAGATGTGGTGACCAGCAGCCATGCTTCACACCCTTACTCGCGCTCTCTGAGCCACATCAGTGAAAGCAGCGCTGATGGTATCGTGGTGACAGACAAGTCAGCTGGTGAATCGGGAGATGTGACGTCTACGGCCTCTGGGATCTCCATCAATGACATTGAAATGGAGATGCCCAGCAGAACTCCTGAGCCACCCTGCTCTGGTGCCACCGACCCTGACGTATCACCCAGGGGGTCCTGTGTCTTGAAAGAAGACACAACTCATCCAACACAACACCTAATCAGAAGGAAACCTGGTACATCTACCTCTCTCGTCACATCCTCCTCTCCCAGCTCTGAAGGAGAGGATCCTGACGCTCTCTCGCAAATGAACACGCTTCCCCTCCTAGACAGCGGGGAGGGGACGTATATAGCCAGACGAGTGCCAGTGGAAGAGGATATGGTGGGGACAGGCGCAGATTGTGTGTCCAGAAAGGATGATGGTCTGGTGGACAGTGGGCTGGAGGATGCTCTAGGAACTGTAGTTTCCTCTCTAGATGATTATAGAGGACAATTTCCTGAGTTACAGCTACTGGAACAAGAGCTGAAGCTGCTGCAGGTTACACTGAAGGTGAGAATGAAGGATGTGTGAGAAACAAGAACATTGTGTCCAGGGGTTGGTAGAGTAGCCAACAACTGAGCTCAAGTAAAAGTAGTTATTTTGTATAAACAGGTCATCAAGTTTACTTTCCACATCTTTAATTTCAAAAGGCTATGGCTGACATCATCTGTCAAATGGAGTTTGCCCCATGTAGAGCACAATGTTCCCAGTGTGTCTGTACGGTGGAGTCCACAAGTCTGAGAGCACCAGTCAAACGTTCTAAACAACAGGGTGCTACTTCCCCTCAGTCAGGGTGGAGTTGTGTCAAACTCCAGAGTTGCAAATATTTTTCATGTTTCTAAATCCTAAAAAACTTTCTAAATATTTCCAAGTTAGCATGAAAATGTGACAGATTTTTGATGTGCTCTCAAAATGTTGGTCAGTCACAGTGTTTATATTTACTATATACACAGTAAATCCAGAAACCATTTCTCCATCCAAACCTAAGAATGTCTTTGGTCTATATATATGTGAGTTTGCTTGGTCTGTCTGTCTCTCGTGT